AGATTTGAACAGCCGAACTGCAGAACTGCAGTCAGCTGAAGTAGCCTGCAGTGCTGCATTTAACCACTGCGCCTCCAGGTAGTCCTCGACTTAACGACCACAACTGGGCTCAAAATTTCTGTTGCTAAGCAAGACATGTGTTAAGTGACTTTTGTCCCATTTTACCACTTTTCTTGCCACAGTTATTAAGTGAATCTGGCTTCCCCATTGACTTTGCTTGTCAGAAGGTTACCAATGGTGATCACATGACCCGGGAAACGGCAACTGTCATGAGTCAGTCACCAAGTGTTTGAATTTTGATCACATGACCACGGGGATGCTGCAACAGTTGTAAGTGGGGAAAACAGTTATACCGTATTTTTGGAGTATAAGACGCACCTCCCCCCCAAAAAAGAGGGTGAAAATTTGGATGCGTCTTATATACCAAATGTAGCCCCACCTACCGGACTTGTGGAAGCTGCAATAGGCCATAGCAGTGATGGTGAACCTTTTTTAGCTCCCGTGCCAAAAGCGGGGGAAGCACGGGGGGGGGGTTGTGCGCAGGCATGCCACACCCATAATGCTATGCATGCGATCCCCCCCCCCCCGCTTTTGGCACAGTTTTTTTCACTCTCCCCAGGCTCCAGAGGCTTTCTAGGAGCTTGGGGATGGCAAAAACAGCTTTCCCGCCCCTCCTGGGATGCCCCCGGAGGCCTCCGGAGTTTCCCTGTAGCCCCCGGAGGGCGAAAAACGGACCTAAGGGGAAACCAGAAGTTTGGAAATGGTGACTTCTGGTTTGTCCGTACGGCTGATTTTCAACTTCCGGAGTCTTCAGGAGACTTCCCTGAAGGCTCCGGAGGTCAAAAATTGGCCCTACGGGGAAACTGGAAGTTCGGGAATGGTGACTTCCGTTTTTTCTGTAGGGCCGTTTTACCACCTCCGGAGCCTTCGGGAGACTTCCTTGAAGGCTCCGGAGGTCGAAAATTGGCCCTACAGACAAACTGGAAGTCACCATTCCTGAACTTATGGTTTGTCCGTAGGGCCGGTTTTCGAGCTCTGGAGGCTTCAAGGAAGCCTCCGGAGGGTGAAAAACGGCCTCAAAAGAAGGCTGAAGTAAGCTGGCCAGCGCATGCGCACTGGCCAGCTGACAGGGCAACACCTCGTGTGCCCTTATAAATGGCTCCGCATGCCACCTGTGGCACGCGTGCCATAGTTTTGCCATCACAGGGCTATAGCAATCCTTGCAGCCCGAAACAGCTGATGAGGCCCCTGCTGAAATTAAAAGGGAAATTTGCTGTTTGCTGCAGGAGGCAAATTGCTGGGAGGCAGAGGGAGATTTTTTTTTTTCTTGTGCTAATCAGGCTGCTGCTGTTTGCTGTTTGCTGCAAGGATGTAAGTCAATAACTATAAATGCCTATAGAATGTTCAAATTATTACACTTATTTTTTAAAGACTGCTTTATTATTGTTCTAGACAGCTTAACAAAATGAAACTTTTTAAAAGAAATGCTTGACCTGAAGAGGCCCAGTGCTATTGTATCTTCTTTTAAATAGCAGAGAATAACTCTGCTTCCAGAAAGCCACATCTGTACAAGTATAATCTAAAATGTAACACCACAAACAGTGTCTGTACTGTTTGCTGTTTGTTGCAAGGGGGCAAATTGCTGGGAGGCAAAGGCGGATTTCCCCCCCCCCCTTGTTTTCCTCCCCAAAACCTAGGTGCGTCTTATACTTCGGAGCGTCTTATACTCTGAAAAATACGGTAAGTCACTTTTTTCAGTGCCGTTGTAACTTCGAATTAAATAAACTGTTGTAATTTGAGGACTGCATGTATTATTATTATTATTATGGTTGGTTGCACAATCAGCCAAATGTTTAGGCTGGATTTGGCATTTTAGTTCGCCCGAGTCCTTCCTCAGCATCTGGGACAGGCAGATGTTCTTTGATGGCGTTAAAGGCATCGTCACAGGATGGAAGCTATTCCAAGTCAAGCTGCCTTTTGCAATTGACTCATGGTGATTTTGTCAATGCCAGCAGTGTTCAAGGGGTGCTCCAGATGTTTTTTGCGATTGCACCCAGGGGGATCTATTTACTATTATTATCTCCTGACTGGGTCATAAAATTTTGATGGAGTCAATTGCCTCAAACTGACGCTGATGTATTCTGCCATTTTGGATGGAATTCACAGTCAGTGTTTTATAATCTCTAGCGTACATGAAAAATACAATGCTTAAACCTGGAAATAATATAAAAGCTTCCAAAAGATTGCCTTCTATCCCCCCCGTCCCTCATTGAAAAAAAAGTTATTCCGGCATGGAGGATTTAGATTAAAAGATCAAGCATAGCAGAGGCATTTGACTTACCTAGCAAGGCCTCAACGCACTTCACGTGATTGCCCCGTACGGCATAAAGCAGTGGAGTCCCACCATTCTGTAAAGAATAGAATAGAATGACAGAGTTGGAAGGGACCTTGGAGGTCTTCTAGTCCAACCCCCTGCCTAGACAGGAAACCCAATACCGTTCCAGACAAATGGATATCCAACGTCTTCTTAAAGACTTCCAGTGTTGGGGCATTCACAACTTCTGGAGGCAACTTCTGTTCCACTGATTAATTGTTCTAACTGTCAGGAAATTAATTTCTCCTTAGTTCTTGTGCTTAGTTGCTTCTTTCCTTGATTAGTT